AATTTTTGGGGAGCAAATTGGCAAAAAACTAACCGTTTTTAGCCGTTTTTTTGGCTTATTAAGGAGCTAGAATAAACGGTAACATTACCGTTAGCCCGCGGGCCGTGATTGCGGGCCGGCACGGCGGGCCATGGCCGTGCTCGTGCCGGGCCGTGCCTGGGAATTCTCAACCCTGTCCGTGGCACGGCCCGTGGCACGGGAGTTGAACTTCGTGCCGTGCCGTGCTTGAATTGCCAACCCGGCCCGTGCCCAGGAACTACTATTCTCGTCTCTTTCTCTCCATAGCTCTCCTCCATTGAAGCGCATTCTGCTGAGCTTTCTCACCTCCATTGAAGCGCATTCTGCTGAGCTTTCCAACTCCATTGTAGCAGCTTCGAGGTAAGATTTATTTCGTGGTCTTCCTAATCTATTGAATTCCTTCGCAATCTAGGGATAGTCGTTGATTTAGGGTTTTCTGTTCTTTGTGGTTTGCTGTTGTGACTTTAATTTCGAGTTGTGCATTCAACAATAGTAAATTGTTTTAGGGTTTTGATTGTTGCTGTTGTTTTATGAACTTGATGGTTCTCGTTTGGGCATTTGTTTATGAACTTGATGGTTCTCCATTGCTGGGTTCCTCAGCTTTCTGATTTGGCGCTCAGCATATCTAACGCGTGTACTTAGCTGGAGAAACAGATTCTATGTTGCTGTAAACTGGGCAACCACTCTAGTTTTTTGGCAGGGATATTTCAAAGATAGGAAAGTTGTTGTTGTCCCTATTGCATTGAGGTCCTTTTACTTGTAGTTTGTGCTAAAACTTTGGACGTTATTTGATTTATTGTAATCAAATTTTGCGAAACTGAATACTTCTATATATGATACTCATATTATGATAGAATTACAGTATTAATCAAACAGATCAAGGTCTTTTGAACTAATTAAGTGCGAAATACAAAAACTGATTAGTACTCCGATTATGTAGTTTCTCAATCTTATATGGCATCTAAATGAGAATGTGCTGATCTTGGTAAAATTGCAAGAAATGAGATGAAATTGTGCAAAGTTGTTGTGGTGTAATATTGGATAAAATTGCAATTATGTAAGCTGTTGTGATGTAATGAGCTGCTTGATTTATGTTGGTCATTACTCGTATAATATTGGATAAAATTGCAAGAAATGAGATGCAATTGCGCAAAGCTGTTGTGGTGTAACACGTGGCATAGGCTGGCAGCATCTCATTTAGATTTAAAATAAAGCATAAGAAATTGACCATATAGAGGTTTCCCATGCTTTACTGTGGTAGACTCAGGATACATGCCATCTTAAATAAATGATATTGTGATATTGTCTGCTCAGTGGATCTAATTTACATATAATTTTCTCCTTGCAGTTGATATTATATCAACTATTGAATTTGACAAGACTGGGGATCACCTTGCTACTGGAGATCGTGGGGGCCAGGTTGTTTTGTTTGAGAGAACCAACAGAAAGGGTGTAAGTGCAATCATGCTTGTTTGATTCACAAAGTAACTTTCTTTGATTCTAATATAATTACATGTTGAGGCCTATAACCTATATATAATGTGATCATATGATATGTAGCCTGGTGGACCTAGAAGAGATCTTGTTAATAGGCATCCTGAGTTTCGCTATCAGACTGAGTTTTAGAGCCATGAACCAGAGGTAGGTATCTTCATTGAATCAGCTGTCATAGTTGATGTTTGTTTCTCTTCCTTTTTGTCCTTAACTTTGCAGGAAAAGCTCACATATTTACCTTTTGGTTTCAGTTTGAGTACCTAAAGAGTTTAGAGATTAAGGAGAAAATTAATAAGATCAGATGGTGTGAGATGGCTAATGGCGCACTATTTCTTCTTTCCACTAATGACAAAACCATCAAATTCTGGAAGGTGAGGAAACTCTTGCTTGCTATATGTCTTTGCAGTTTATTATAGGATTTGTCTATCACTAGATAACTATCGAATTTAGGCACTTTCTGTGGATGAAGATATTAGTTGTATTACTCTTCTTGTCTGACTTTTTTTATCTCCCATATGGTAGTTTTGGATAGGTATAATTCTTTGTCTCGTGTCCATTATATCTCACCGGATAGCTTCCTTGGTTAGGTTTCGGGAGAAAAGAAAAGAGAGATGTTTGGTAACAAAACAGGTATACTATACGAAAGGAGGTTGCTCAAAGGTGAGATTTTTCTCTAAGTTTTTTTTTTTTTCAGTTTCATATTTCTCAGTCAGTTTACCAAATAGTTATGGCTATGCTGTTGTACTCCCTGTTGGTCTGTTGGGAGTTCTATTATTATCTATGCTAAGGGATTGCTTCTTGACACCAGTGTGCTTTATTTCTCTTTTCTATTTCTAGGATGCACCGCAAGAATGGCCAATTTGCATCTTTGAGAGAAGGTTCAGCATCTTTCAATTTGGAAGCTAAAAAGAACTTAGTGGTTGGTAGAAGCCTGGGACCAGAAACTGTGTGAATCCTTGTTAATTGGATCCCCGCTCCTCCCATATGCACAATGTGCTGAAGGATAGTAATTAATTTATCTCTGAATTCCTGCTTATTCCCTTTCTAATTTTCTCTATAATTTCCAGTTCAAACAAGTGCCAGCATTGTGGTATTAGTGAAAATGATACACCAGCAATGCGACGCGGACCAGCTGGTCCGAGAACCTTGTGCAATGCTTGCGGACTGATGTGGGCCAACAAGGTGTGAATTCATAATATTGTATTTAAAATGTTTTAGAGTTGAGATTCTTGAGAGAGATAAAATGTTATAATATCAACATATATGCATTGAGCTTTGCGTAATTAAAATAATGTGCTGTAGGATAGAGGAAACCATTTGTGTAGGATTCTATTTGTGTAAAATGGTCTATGTAATCTAAGTTTCTGATACTAAGGAGGGATTATGTTGCTAGAGAAGAAATTATGAGCCTGATTTGATAATTGAAACAAATTTGGTTGATAATTGAACTATGAAATTGGACCTATTCTCCCATTACTACTACTGTTTGATTGGAAATATGAATTTGGACCTCTTCTCCCAACAATGAACAATGATACAGTTAGAATTAGATTCATCTCAATAAATTAATCCAATAGAAAATCATTTTATGGTTTATATGCTGTATTTATAGGTAGTGTGATAAATAATAATGATCAAACAGAGAGACAGCCACAGAAGCAAACAGATGCCCAGCCTGCCTCTTTTTTTTTTATTTATTTTTTATTATTATTTTTATATATTTTTTTTTTTGTTTAATATTTGAATTCTTACGTCTACGCATTTGACTCTACATCGTGTAAAGAATGTAACCTCCTCAGTCTAGGTAATTACAGTCCGTATATGTTCTTTACAGAAATCTTGTTGGAGCCGATTTGGGTGGTGAATTGGGGCATAGGATTATTCACATCTATTAAATCAATGTAAGATCTCTCTTTTTGCTATATGGACTTGTAACTTGACCCTGTTAGACACACAGGAAGTAATAAAATTATCTTGTAATTGAAGGAGAGTGGTATCACACAACAGATTATCTAATTGCTTGCCTCTATTGTGCATTTGTGTAGTCCTCTGTTGTAAATGTTACTATATTTGAATGTATTTAATATTCTTAATCTTCACCAATATCTTACTTGTTTAGTCTTGCAGTCTTTTATTGTTGATCTGCACGAGAAGTTGACTGGCATTAGCATCTATGGTGCAGTTATGGACATCTCTCGAGAAGCAAATACTGCAAAATCTATATTCAATATGAAGATTTAAGATCCAACAGGAGCTATTTATGTAAAGCTGCATTTAATGAATCTTGGTATTACTAATTTGAAGTTTCGAAAAATGTTTCTTCGTTAGAGGATCAATTTGTTTGTTGATTTCTTCAATCATGTTCTTCAGGTCTTTAGGGAGATTGAGTCTTGATCACACTGTGTACATCTCTGGTTTGACATGTGCCAAGACAAAAACACAAGGGGTGAACTCAACACTTATTTCCAATGATTATTGATATGCACATATCTTTATTGGCTATTGGTTTCTCTGACCAATTTTTGTAATCTGGTTCTAGTTAAGTAATATAAAATTCTGTATAGCCTCACCTCAGATTGTAATATATTAAGTTTCTTTAACAGTCTAGAAGCACGATGGTTTGAAAATGGTCCTGGAACTTCCTTTGTCAACCTAAGCTACTTGCCTGCAATCTTGAACTCATCTTGTCTCCACAAGCATTCTTACCTTGCTGATGTGTCAAGGCAGAATACTGGTACACATGTATGTCCTCCACAAGCTGGCATCTTTTGTATCACCTGGCTGATTACGTGTTTTAAGTGATTTTCTGCTAGATAGCATTCATCAGTTTGATAACTGAATTTGCATGTTGGTAGCATAGCCTATGACTGGTTAAATATGTCTTTGTCTCTGTTTACTATATTTTCGTTTATGAAAACTAAGATCTAGAGCTTGTTAACTCTTATAGACTCTGCCAATGCATCTTTAGCCAAACCTGAAGCTTGGGGTTTTCAAAAAGTCTTCTCGTGTAGAATTAGCTAGCTTAAATGGTGAAGTCTCTGGAGTAGTACCTTTGTGGTTGCTGACTGAGAAAGTAATCTTCTCTTGACTAATATATTCTCCTGGTTTATTTGGTCAATCACTCAATCCTATAAAATTTCGCTTTACTCCTAAACCAGGAACCTTACTTATTGTAAATATTCTTAAGTCATTATATACTACATACTTAAATCTGACAATTCTTTGAAGAATACAACTGAAACCCTTAAGTCGTTTTTTTTTTAACCTTTTTTTATTGACTGCTTCCTGTCTTTTAGAAATAGAATTGGTTGTGAAAAACATATACCTAAGTAGGATTCAATCACAATAGTAAGAAGGGGAGGGGGGTGGGTGAGGGGTTCTTTCAGAAATAGAATTGGTTGTGAAAAATATAAACCTGGGTAGTATTCCACCACAAAACTAAGAAGGGGAGGGAGGGGGGTCTCACTGCATGAGAGTATACCTTATTTTTCGTGAATTACAAACTAAATCTGATGATAAGTTAGATTGTTCACAACTCTTACCCTGTTTCTCCTGCTGTCAATATCGAGCAGATTTGCAAGGTGTGGCTGGACCAAATTGAATACTGTCATGTTAATACAAGATTGGCACATGTTACTTGTGGTCATTTTGTTAAGACAACTGCAAGTGGTTCTGTTGAATGTGAATTTTGTTGCTGCAACTGTGAGACGAAAACTAGATGCACTTTCCATGTAAAAATAATTGTGGCTGATGATAGTGGTAAAGTCTTTGCATGGTGTATTGGTCAAAATGCGATTGAACTACTGCAAATATCTCCAGATGAATTCTATGAATTGCCTGAGGTATGCTTCTTCATCACCTATTTCCTTTTCTTGTAGGACACCTGTTTTAGTTACTGCTAAGATTGGAACGTAATTTCATTAAATAAGTCCAAACCAATTTTGTCCTCGCTTTTGGGAAAACTCTGCTCAAATATTGGGGTATTTGTGCATAATGTTAGAAATAAAGTTGGTGGTAGAAATTTTCAAGACGATTGGAAGACAATAGATTAGCATTAAGCTTAGTCTAATATTGTTGCTTCCCTTGGCATTCAGGAGGAACAAGTTATTTACCCATGTTCGCTGGAGAACGAAAGATACATGATAGCAATTGTGAACTGTGGTCAGCAGGAAACCATCTTCAAGGAATGTGTGACTGCAGAAAATGAGATGGTATACTTCATCTTCGTTTCAAATTTCTGATTTGCTTATTGAATTGCAATAAAAATCCCAACCTTGTATTTTATTTTATTGTATATTTTATTTTTTTGGAAGAAAAATTGTAATATTACAGCCTATTTTAATGAAAATAAGGTAACTTTATATATATGTTAGTGTTTATATATCAATTTAAGTGAAAAAAATGCAAAAAAAAAAAACATTTATTTTTTTGGGGCATTTTTAGCACCGGTTTTGAAACAGAACCGGTGCTAAAAGTTTTTTTTTTTTTAATATTCTTGGGGACTTTTTCGCACCGGTTCACATCAAGAACCGGTGCGAAAAATAAGTTTTCGCACTGGTGCGAAAAGTCTTGGGATTTAGCACCCCCCAAATCAAGACCGGTTCAAAACCGGTGCTAAATGGGGGGTTTGAACCAGTGCGGATTACGTGTTTTTTGCCTAGTGAGGGTAGAAAAACGGATGTTTTGTGCATGTCTGTACGGCATTAAGGTTCCATCAGGGTACGCATCTAACATGAAAAAGATTTGTTTCCTTGAATGGAGAATTGAAGCTGACAAGTATGAAATCCCACAATTGTCATGTTTTGATGCAAGTATTCCAACCAATTGCAATACGTGGTATTTTACCAAAGCACGTGAGGGAAGCTATTACAAGCCTCTGTTCGTTTTTCAATACAATATGCAGCAAAGTGCTTGATCCTTGTACACTTGATGCTTTGCAGGCGGATGTGGTTGTGACTATGTGCAAATTTGAGATGTACTTCCCACCCTCATTTTTTGACATAATGGTGTATTTGATTCTTCATTTGGTGGCGTAAGATTTAATTGTGCGGTCCAGTGTTCATGAGGTGGTGATATCCTTTTGAAAGACACATGAGTACATTGCAAGATAAGGTAAGGAATCGGGCTCACCCGGAAGGAAGTATGATTCAAGGGACCGTGGGTGAAGAGATTGGTAATTTTTGTGGTCGACTATATAGCCATTGCTGAACCTATTGGTCTTCCTACTTCTCGACATGAAGGGAGACTTGATGGTCAGGGCACAATCGGGTCGAAAAGAATGTCACCTGACCGAGATAAGTTCTTACAAGCAAACCTATATGTGTTGCATCATGTTACAGATGTTCACCCATACTTAGATGAGCACCTGGCTAGTTTGCGTGATGAATTCCCATCGAAAGGTGAAAGGGCTCGACAATTGTACTATGTTGAACGGGGTATCAAGGAATCAGTGCGTACGGGAGACAAGTTCATATTCGCCCCGTGTTTTGAGGAGTACGTCCGACCATGTCAAATTCATTTGTTTCCCCTAATTATATGTTGCACATGGCTAATTATTGATTTGTTTGTGTATTGTGAATTTATGTAGTTCACATTGGACCCTGCTGGTGATTTGTGTTTCCAGTAACACAATCTTCCTTTTTTATTCTGCTCGGTTGCCTCATCCAAAAAAGCTCCTCGTGAAGTCTGTACTGCGAAAGTAAATAAAGCTCCCTAGTGTTGATTATCATTACCTAACTCATTTATTAGTCATACTAATCAAGTTTGAACTTACTTTTCTATAGTGTTATGAAGAAGATAAATTGTCGAGCTCCTCAAGGTCCCACATGGAAATCACCGATGGTAATGCTACATGATATTGTGATTTTCATAATAAACAATGCGTAATATATTGCTAGTTTGCTATGCATGTTTGATTCATGTACTTTGTTCCTATGCTAGTGCGCACAACAAGATAACGGAGTTGATTGTGGACTATACGTGATGAGATTCATGTTCGACATACTAAGTCGTTGTACAGACACACTACAGCTTGATGAGGTATGCCATTGACTTAGTTAATTTGCACTTTTCGTGTTATTTTACAAGAAATGTAGGAAATAGACATCCTAGTAATCATGTAGGCCTTATTTGGTTCATTTTGAATGAAATTGCGTCCTAAAACCATTGAATTGATCTTTTAATGTGATTTCAAGGCTTAGCCGCCTATAACTAGGTAATAATGACATGTTAAGAGCAAAAATGAGTTGATTTGATAAGAAATGTAGAAAATAGGCATCCAAGTAGTCATATAGGCCTTATTTGTGCCATTTTGGATGAAAATGCGTAATAAAACCCTAATTACTTGCTCTTTTAATGTGATTTCAAGGCTTAGCTGCCTCTAACTAGGTAATTGCGTCCTAAAACACTTGAATTGTAACATAATTTTTGTTTATCCAAGTTTTGCAAGGTACATAAAGGAGGTCCATTGACGAGCATGGAACTTAATGAACTTCGAGACATGTTGGCGTCTTTCATCACATTTAATTTAATTTGAAACTTGTTAACTACATTAATAATTAGTATTGTTTGTAAATATGACACTTTTTTTTTATAAGGAGTTGTAAATATATATGACACTTCATTGTATTGCATTTGGGATTATTAATTAATATCTATTTATAGTTGTTATTATTTCAATTTAGAAATTATTATATTATTATTGTTATTATTATTAATAATAATAATAATAATAATAATAATAATAATATAATAATAATAATTATTATTATTATTATTATTGATGGTAGAATTAATGCAGGATGTGCAGGTTATTATTATTATTAATATATTATTTATAGCAAAAATATTTTTTTAAAAAAAGGGGTTTTAGCACCGATTTTTGCTTAGAACCGGTGCAAAAAGTGTTTAATATTCAAGGCGCGCAAGCACTTTTGGCACCGGTTCTAAGTAAAAACCGGTGCGAAAAGTTGTGTTTTTGCCACCGGTTAACCCCTAGAACCGGTGCGTAAGGTGATTTTTGCCACCGGTTTTGAACCGGTGCAAAAACTATGGGGTTTTAGCACCCCCAAATACAACCCAGTTCAAAACCGGTGGGAAAGGAGGGGTTTGAACCGATGGGGAATTGGTTTTTTCGCCTAGTGCATTAAGGCACTACCTGGTTGCAATTAGACTATGTTTCAGGAGGAGGTTAGGGACAAGTTTTACCCTAGTTTCCTACTAAAACAGAAAGCTAAAAGAATTTTTCTAACCTAGCAATGGGAGACATGTCAGCCATTGAGTTTTATACTATGTTTATTAAACTGTAAAAGTTTACCAAAGAGTCTGTTGCTACAGAAAAAGGCGAAATCTAGGAAGTTTGAGAGTGGATTGACCACTGATCTTCAATTTAAAGTTGTGTGGACAAGTGTTCGAAACCTTGGATGAAGTTTATGGGAGGTCTGCACACCTTTATGCATTAGAGTAGAAGAAAAGGAAGGAATTAGCTGAGGTGGAAGGGAAGGAAAAGAGAAAAGAGATGGGACAGAACTTTGGAAACCCTCAAGGTAACCAGAACAACTTCAAGAGGCAGAAATACCACCAAAACAACAACAGCAACAACAACTTCAACAACAACAATCGTCAGGGTGGATGAAATTTCAACGGATAGGCCTAAGAACTATAACCAGGGAAGTAAAAAAGGTTCAAGGCATTATTACTGCAAAAGGTGTAGGAATGATCACCCTGGTAAAGACTGTGAGGGTAACTTGGTTACTTGCCGCGCTTGCAACAAGCTGGGACATAAGGAGTATAAGTGCTTCTCAAAGATTCAAATCGAAACAAGTATGGCAATAATTAAGGAGGGGCTTAAAAAAAACTATTAGGGAAGCAACAACTATGCAGGGAACAAAGGGGCACAACAAAATGGGGTAAAAAGCAATAACAATGGGAATGGTCAGGTGAAGAGTGGAGCTCCAGGAAAACTGAATGTGATAAGTAGGCATGAAGCTGATGCTACGAAGGATCTTATTACTGGTACTTTTTCTATTAACTCTATTCCTGTTAAAATTTTGTTTGATTCTGGTGTAACTTTTTCTTTCATTTCAAAAGTCATTGTTTCAAAGCTATCGCACTATTTGAAAACTGTAGATGTCATAGATGTACCTATAGTTATTCCTACGGGAGAGGTAGTACAATGTACCAAAACCTTTAAGGACGTTCCATTAGAGATCAAAGGAAAGGTGTTTCTGTCCGACCTCATTGAGTTTGGGTTAAGTGACTTCGACGTCATCTTGGGAATGGATTGGTTAAGTAAGTATAGTGCAAAGATTCGTTGTCGATTGCAAAAGGTACAGTTAAGTTAAGTACAAGTCGAGGGTGAGTTGGTAACACATTGGAAGCATGGTGAAACAAAGTGCCCAAGGATCATCACTATGATGAAGTTGGCTAAGCATATTAAGAAGGGGCATCAAGTATAATTTTTGTAATGTAAGGAACTTGGAACACGAAGAGAGAGCTAAGCTTGAGAGCATAGAAGTGGTGAATGAGTTTCTAGATGTGTTCCCAGAAAAGATTCCAGGAATGTCACCCATGATTGTTTGATGCTTGATTTCAATAATGAGGAATATGAAGAATTTTCATATCAATTCGGAGTTTGATTTGTGTTCTCCAAATCGTCTAATGTTTGCATTATAAAATATCCACTTACCTTAATGAGTCAAACAAATTAATGGAAATAGATTTTATTTACTTCTCTTATAGCATGGAGTACTAATATAATGTACCTACAATATTCTACTAATGCACTTATAGTGTATTAATAATGTATTTTGTAGTATTCTGCTAATGTTTCTAGAGTCTTCTATTAATGTATCCATAATTCTAGTATAAGAGAAGATATTTGTTACGCCTGCACTACATTTCTTTTTAAACAGTCAACTCTATTTGAGTGCCAACAGATGTGAATTGAGCTTGATATAAAGAAAATCATGTCTTTTAATTTTACTTTTTCTCTTTATTTTTTTTGATGTATATGCCATATACACTTGATGTATCCTTAATATTTACTTAAAGTATTTATAGCAAATTCTTTATGTATTTGGGTTGCTCACGCTTCTCACCTTATGTACCCTTCTCACCGGATCCTATATATATATATATATAATATAATATATATATATATATATATATATATATAATATATTATATATATATATGGAATAAGTAAGAAAAATAAATTTGGATAGAAAATAAGTATTAGGAAGTGACATGTGTCATTATTAGTGTTTATTTTGGTATTAAAAGTAGAAAAAATACACTTTAACAATCC